ACAAAGAAATATTTTGTTTCAGGTTTTAAAAAAAAATGCTCTCAGAATAGAAAAAAAATTTGAATTAAACTATTTACATTCCTACTGAAGCTATTAAAATTTTTAAAACAATGTATTATTTGAAAATTGCAGATGTATCTCAAGAAGAACAGTTTTCAAATAGCTTTTTAAATTAACTATCTTTAAACAGTTTAAACTTGTGAGTTTATAAAACTACCATTTTCACAAATTCTTTCAAATAACTTTTTTGAAGATTTACTAATTAAAATATATAAAATTTAATTTTAGCAAAAATAACTATATCCTCACCTTAAAAAATAAATTTAGCTATTTGTTTTAGTTAATTGCTAATTAAAATTTGGTGAACTTTAGAATCAATATGAAATAAATTTTAACAAAACCAGTTTAAAATATTTCAAATTAAAAAAAAAAAATCCTAACCCTAATACTACCAATTGTACTATATAAAGTAAAAAAAAACAAAAAAAAAACAACTATTCTATGTGCCTTTTTTTTCTTTTTTAGTAAAGTTCACCCAATAACCAAGAGCCACTCAATGTAGATGTTTACTGAATAAGGGATGCCATATGAGCATAAGAGGAGGAAATAGGAAGTGAATATTACAAAGATATATCAGATTGATAATGACTTACCCTAGACTTGAAGAGGTTAAGATTGTAATATTCAGCTAAGCATCCACACAGGAGTCATTTCCACAAATAGTGGTTCTTTGGAAGAAGCTTTTGGAGTGTAACACCCTTCTTACTAAAAGAATACATAGAGAATGAGTGTTGATTCAACCCTGTGGATGTAACAAGGCGGGTTTTCACTGTAAAGGTCTGAGATGATGGTATTCCAGAATGGAGTTTGTCTGAATATTTCCCATGAAAGTAGTGACAGAGTAGTGATAGGTCTGCAACATTGTGCCTGTGGGCAAGGGGTTGTAGGGTGGAAAAGTCACCCTCTCCACCCCACAAGGTCATGTAAATGATTTTGACTTCAGTCAAGGTTGGAAAGTGAGGACTGGGTAGCTTCAGCCCAGATATGGCAGCAATACTCCATTTCTGATCTGACTCTTGTAAAGAAAGCATGACAGAAGGAGTCAGGTAGTTTCTACAATTGTTGAGGAACCAACCATTTTTCTAGCATCTTTATCAGTGGATTGTAGATGAGTTCCACTTGGATCCCAATAGACGTTCAGAGTATGATGCTTTCTTGAGAGTATAACTTTTCATCATGACATTCAAGGTCAGTTGGGAGTATTGAAAATTACAAGCTAGTCTTTATTATTTCTCTTTGAAATGTTACAATTTATGAAATAAGGTGTTTTTTTTTTTTTCCTTTTAGATTTATGTTAAATTGTTAAATAGCTCAAATGTATATTTACTACCCAGTACAAGTATTGAACTAATAGCCTTCAGCTAATGTAAACTTGGGCTTTAATAAGTTGATCTGTTCCACCTGCAGTTGAAATGGGTTCTGCTCATTAAGTTCTATATAAACTTATAGTTTTTTCACTGGGATATCTAAAGTCTATTTGCCTGGTAATGTTATATCAGACTAAATCAACAATTTATTCCTGGAAGCCACTAGGTATTTTTCAAGTGACAATGCATAAATTCTTTTAAAAAAAAAAAAATAAAAAAATAAAAAACTCTCAGATTTATGGCTTAAAATTCTTTATTATAACTAAAGCAATCATATAAAGACAAAGTTGACAAAATTCTTAAATTTCAACCTCATAGAAAGAGGATGTAAGAATACGGCATGGTTTTCAAGTGATTGTGTTTCTATCTATATATTAGAAAAGAAGAGTATGCTGAAATGTTCTCAGCCTGACCCTACTTCCCAATATCTGGTTATAACCATTTTTTTTGTTTTAAGTCATTTCTTTGTCAGCCCCTTACCTTTATCCAAAGTAAGAACAGTTTATGCACACTTTCATTGTCTATGATATAAAAAGTATTTTGGTCAAGTTATTTTTTAATGCACATAATTTGGACAATATACTGAATTGGTTTACTAAGCCTAACTTTTAAAAGGAAATACTTTATTTTACTTTCCTATAAGATTTTAGGGAAACTGTGTCCCCAACCCAATTAAAATTAATGTGTTTGCTTTATTTTAGTTTTTTTGTTTTTTTTTTTCACTTAACATGCTTAATTAAGTTTACAACATCTGAATTGACAACAGTCAATAGGAACTGAGGTTATGCAAAGCACAACACTATAATGAAAGTTTACTTGTTTCTGTCCTATGTTAAAAGCAAGTTGAGAAATGTGTGTATGAGTGACTTATGAGATTTTTTTAAAATATTGAATATGTATAGTATAAAAAAGGCAAAAATTATAAGAATGGAATATTGTTTACTATTAATATCTCTCGTTCTTGTTTGAATATTTATTCATACACCCATTTAATTTCACCACACCAACATTCAAAGAGTTCTTTCAAAATTGTTCTTCCGTTTCCTAAAATGCTTACAATTTTGAGTTTATTTAGTCTAGTATAAGAAATAAGATGAATTAAGTCAGTTTATTGTATAAGTCCTTTTTCACTTTTAATTTTTACATAGAGGAAATATATACAATCACCCCACACACATTCTAACAATTTTAACTATTAATCTTAAACATTCTATAAATTTTTACATCATTAGAAGGTCATTTATAAGAGGAAAATCTAAAATGTGCATTAATACTCTAATATTAAGTGTTGATTATTCTCAAGTAACATCTTGTTATCAACCTTAACTAGTTATAACAATCCAAGAGTTTTGTTCAGCAAAAAATAGTAACTGAAATATAAATCATTTCTTTATTAATATTTTAATATCAAATATGAACATCAATATTGAGAAAGCTTATGAAGTTATAAAACTCAAAGACCAAACATTAAATTAGTTGCTGTTTTTAATTAAATTTTGGTCAATATTTTCAAAATAACTAATTACAAATTAGCCTCTTTCTGATATAGTATCCTACAGGTTCTGATCATCAGTACTGAGATTGTTTCTGGTAAAACAAAGAAACAAAAGCAACTACATTGCTTTTTATTTATTGACAAACAAAATGAAATGAAAAGAGAAAAATTTTAATAGTTAATTAGTTTTCAAAGAGAAATATATTCTAAAAGCAATTCACTAAGAAATATTGTGCAATTAATCACATTTTAGAAAAAAAATAGTATAGAAAAAAAATGTGCTTAATAAATACCAGAAACTTTTTTTAGCAAAAAGAAAAAAAAAACATTTCGAAGAAAGAAAAAAAATACAGAAGAACTATTTGAGTTACAAAACACCAAAACAGAAATAGGAAACAAAGGATGTTAACAATTATAGCCAAATCAAAATATAAATGAATGCATATATAAAATATGTTAAAAAACTTAAAACATGAATTACCAACAGTATTACTTTAAATATCTAAGGGAAACCAACATTATTATAGATACACAGTCAAACTCAGTATAAGTCATATTTAATGAAGTTTTAAATTGGGTTGTAAGTAAATAAAAATGCATCCACATTCCTAAGGACATGATATGATAATGAAAAAGAATCTTTACAAATATATTTTTTTATAAGGAAATAGAAATAGTTGTATGATCTATAAAATTATTTTTTTTCTATTTTTTTAACAAATACAAACTAAAATAACCTAAATAAATAATAGGATTTTATTAATTGAATTAATTTTGTTATATTGATCAAAGTTTACACTGAAATATTTTTAAAAGATATAAAATCTTAATATAGATTGTTTCTTTTGAAGGTGGTTTGTCATCAAGTGCAAGTATTAGCCGAGTAATTGCACACTCATAGCCCAAAATAAAAGAGAAACTTATGATCTACAGATGTTAAACTCATACTGACCTGCCACATCAACGAAAAGCCAAACCAACCAACTTTTTAAGACACATAAATCAGATCTTTATTACACACAAAAACAGCAGAATTTTTCGATTTGCTCCAAAATACAAAAATCTGAATCATGTATTTAGACAGTAAACCAGTTTGTTAACCAAATAGCTTTGGGGTTTGTATAAACTCTGGCCTATTTGTTCCTCTATAAATATATCATTCTGTTTTATAGTTAGTTCCTTTCAGAAATCACTGTGGTGCTTCCAACACTTTCTCCAATTCCTATTTTGTGTTGTGTGAACTCATAGTCATTAGTTGTAGAAGCAGAGTGTTAAGTCCATCTTAGAACTAGAATTTTTTTAAATCCCTATTTATTTAAAAGGGGAAAACAGCTTATAATGAAATAAGTAACAAAATAAAAAGCCAAAAGGTTAAAGAATAATGAGCCTGAAAGTACAGTCAAGGCTCCACATTTATGTATTTCACTGGTCACTCAAAAGATTACCATTCAGCTAAATTTTTGTTGACAACTCATGAACAATTTGAGACATGGTGGATCTTCAGTCTTGCAGTAAACATCAGTTAAGGCAGCTCATGATCATTCTTTCAGATTTTTAATGTTGGCATTATAAAGTTCTTAATATACACTTCATTATTATTCTGTTCATGTCAATACTCATTAGCCCTAAACAAAGTGTATATAAGGATGAACAATAGCCCCAAAGGCCAAGAATATAATAATTTTTAATGAGAAAGTGTGAATTCTAGATAAAAGAGTGCTCTATATATATCACACCTCATATTCAATATCAACAAAAGCTTGTACAATAGAGATAAAAGAATTGTGGAATTCATATTGCTAAAGAGGCATATATAGATAGAGTGCTGTTAAAATTTTAAAATACTGCTTATTAAAATTGAAAGATGAGTACAAATAAAACTTGCCCAAGAACACTGGTGTAATTTCTGCTAAGATCTTCATTTTAGATGAAACATTCAAACAGCAAACTCCTTGCACTACACCAATTTCCCTGCTAGCAAAAGCAAGTTCTAAAAATTCAAGGCGTGTTTCACTCCAGAATAGAAAGATTACTGGCAATCATTTTGTATGAGCAGGTGCTAAAATGTTCTTAGACTGATACACTTCCAAGTATTTCTAAATAATCAGACATGCTCACAGAGCTTGTTTCTTTTGAAGGAGGAGGAAGTGATTAAGGAAAAATTATTCCTAAAGAACTTGTCTAGGAAAAACCTCATGTAGGTACTCTGACACCAAATGCCTTGTAAATTTTTATGAACACTTTCAAAAGATTCAAGCAATGACATTCAAAGAAAATGCCTCAAGACAAGAAGTATCAATGCCAGTCAGCTCTGCTGGATACTGTGGCATTAAGATATTAAATTAAAAAGGAAATTTATCAAATGTGCCTTTGTATTTTCAGAGGTACAAAAGAAATTGTATCAAGACATAAAAAGAAAATACACATAAGTACGATTAATGCTCAACATAAATGCTAAAAGCTTGAAAGAAAAAAAAAAGCAGACAAGTAAAATTATGTAAAAAGCATGAAGTAAAATTTAGCTTCACTAAAGCAATAACAACAGAAATGAAAGAGTAAATGCTACTAAATTTTGACCTAAAAAAATGATACTGGATAAACTTATGTTTTTTTTTGTTTTTTTTTTGTTAATCAACTAAATACAGAATCAGACTTATGTGGTCAGTAGCAATTGTATGCATGTGTGTACAATAAAGAAAATCATTGATTTTTTTACTTCTTGTCTTTTCTAGCAAAATTGGTTATTTGCCTGCTTCACAACACTTATTAAACAAAACTGATAAGCTTAGTCAAAAAAGCAACTAATAGGATTTGCTTATTGCTATGAGAACAAAAATCAATACAACACAAACACTAAATATTGTTTCTTTTAAAGAAATAAAGAATAAGTCAATCTTTTAATTAGAGTGACCCTTAAATAAAAAAAATAATTTGAAACAAGAGTATAAAAATGACTGACAAATTATCTACAAGATTAGACCAAAAGTTCAACACACTTATAGGCTAGATATTGAAATTTCCCTTTATTAAGTTCAATATGATTACCATTTGCCACTGAATTGAGTGCACTGACAAGGAGATTAAAAAGTAAATTGTTAAAAAGTATATTTATAGAGGAAAAAAATTCAGCTAAATCCACTAAACAACAGAAGTACATAAATTTATCACTTCAGATTTAAATCAAAATTTCCTATGCATAATTATACTCATTTTTTTTGTTAATTATACAAATTGGTAATGTCTAATACACAATAAAATCAAAGCCAGAGAAATTTCTATGAACAAACAAAAATCTATTTTTCAAATATAAAAATAATCATGATCTAGTTTCTTGATTCAATGATTTATTGATTGCAATAAAACAAAAAAGAAAAGTAGGAAAAAACTTGTAATAAAACGAATGTCTGCCCAGAAATGATCTAGCAATTAAATATGAATGATGGTTCCATATAGTCCAGTTCAGATTACATCCCTTAGAATCTTATACTTCTTATAGCAACCATTTAACTTTGCAAAAGTCTTGGGGCTTTTGGAATCAGCTTCCTTATCACATTCTCCATAATCTTCTCCACTGTCTGAAAATCTCACTTTCAATGGAGATTTCAGTTTTTAGAAGACCAGAAGTTCCATGGAAGCTAAATTTGGGCTATAGAGGGCTTCTTTAACTATTCAAATAATTTCCAGGGATCTGAGTTTCAAGTAAAATATTCTGCAATTTTTGCCATAAATGCAACAGTCACTTTATGTCATTAGAGAATTTTCATAGATTTTTATACAAACATTACACAATTACATCAGCCATCTTACCAAGAAAGTTTGTGAGTAGATAAATACAGCTAGATAAAACATTTTACTATCATTTTCTAAAACTTAGAAAAATTCTCAGTAATTATTTTGTACTAAGAAGAAAGTTAAAAAATAAAAGTTGAAAATTAGCATTTGATAAAATGATTCTAATAAATATTCAGGTGATAACATCCTTGAAAATAACAGCTTTTCTAATCAACAAGAGACGACATAATATTCCAAATTTTTTAATAGATACTGTCTACAAAGATAAAAATCATAAACAAGGCCATAAGACATAAAACATTGATAGATATAAACAATAAAACCCCATTTATTTGATGCAATATTTATTTTATGTAATTTTTTTTTTTTATACACGTATGCACAACTTTATATTCCATTTTCAGGGTTTTGAGCAGTTACACATAAAAACTGGGCTTTATAAGAGTCATCATTTTTTTCTTTTACCCAGTTACATTGGACACTAACTTTGGCAAGAAAGTTCATCCCAGTATAGTATCAGAGGTAACCCTAATGCAACTTTATAAAATATTTAAGAATGAAGGTTTAAGTACTTTTAGCTAGCCACCACTATTTCTATTACACTAAAATAAAAATTTATGGCATGTCTCTTAAAATATAAAGTAGCAAATCTTTCACTTCATTAACCTGAAAATTTTCAGTTTATTTTATGCGACTGTTCTTGCTCTCGACACTTAAGTTTTGTGGATATTAAAATATTGAATATACAATATTAAGGAAAAATAAAGATTAAATAAAGTTAGAAATTGTATTGCATTTCTTTTATTAGCTTTTCAATTTTTGCTCCCATTGCTCCTTATAGTATGTTTCTATTATTTTGGTCAGTCAAGTGTGATGAAAGAGTCAAGTCAGTATTTGTATTATTCTAATATATCATAAAATCAACCACTAATCAATAATTGCAATATTTTCTAATATGTTTAAGATTCAAGTCTATGTAAAGTACTATAAACATGCCATTTATAAAAAAAAAAAAAAAAAAAAAAGTGATCATTTTGCATTATGCAAATAGTATATGCACAACTTGCCTTTCACTTTTTAATAATGTTCACAAAATAAATCAGTTTAATTGTAGATTCAAGAATAAAAAATGAAATAGTAAAACAATCTTGGAAAAAAAATCTTTGTAAAGAGAAAATGAGTATAAAAAAAGTAAAACATTCATAAAAGACTCAGTTCAAATTTGATAGGAAAAAAAATAAATAGATACTAAACTTTGACTGTAATTAATTTTAAATCCAATATTCTCGATAATTCAGTACAGTTGTGAATTCAATATACACATACAGAAGCAGAATTTTCTCAATATGTTTAATATGCAAGTCTTAGAAAAACCAAAATTGTATCAGCCAAAAACTAGAAATTTATTAATTGAAAATCTATAAATTATATTCACCTTTGAATCCATACTTTCCCCACTACTATTCAGTAGCCACACCTGATTTTTCCACCACTTGTCTTACAGCTTTCTGGTGTTCTTGAAGCCTTACCTTAAGGGGTGGCCTGTCTCCCCTTTATATTTCTTTCCGCAGCTACACAAGATAGTGTACACACAGTCTTTAGTCATGTTCTCCACTATGGAGGGGGGGAGATCTTACTCGGGAGAGATATCTACGAAGTGTCATCCAGCTTTTGAAGGTTGTCCTGATATTATATGGACTGCAGATCCTTTATATTTTATTTGATAACCCCTTCACATAAGGCAAGCAGACTGTTTTCTGAGTGTTGTTGTCCTCCTCCTCTTGTACCAGACTATCCCAGTTTTTTGGGGCTGCTGCCATGTACCCAGGGTAGTTGTTACGTTGGTGGGTACTACTTACACTGACCAATTCTTTATCTAATGTCTCTGGGTTGCCACTTATGATTTTTGCTCGGTGTTGTAAGCAGTGGACGATCTCTTTCTTTATGCTGTATGGATGGTGGGAGTTGAAATTGAGGTACTGTCCAGTGAATGTCGGTTTACAGTATACGGATGTCTTGAACCCATGCTCCGTTCAAAATATTAGAACATCTAGGAATGGGAGTGTGTTGTTACTCTCTTTCTTCATCATGAACTGTATCAAAGGTCTTATTGAGTTCATATGGTCCAGTAGAACCTGAATATCTTCCTGGTGTGGCCAGAGTATGAAGGTCAAAAGCTGGACAACACTTTGCACATATCTCTCCAGAGTAAGACCACCCCCCATAGAGGAGAACATGACTAAAGACTGTGTGTATGCTATCCTGTGCAGCTGCGGAAAGAAATATAAAGGGGAGACAGGCTGCCCCCTTAAGGTAAGGCTTTAAGAACACCAGAAAGCTGTAACACGAGAGGAAGTGGAAAAATCAGGCGTGGCTGACCACATATGGAGAGAAAGGGATCAGGTTGAGATCATAGACAAAAGAACACCATTGGAAAATTCATAAACTTAAGGAATCAGCACATATGTTAGGCCACAAAAATCTCCTGAGCCAACCAAACATAGAAATGAATACAATATGGGAACCAGTAATAAGGAGTGCCAGAGAAAAGCGATAACAAAAATTGCAATATGAGCACTGGTAAAATCATGGAATGATAACAGCAAAAATTGCAATATGAGCACCGATAAAAATGTTTGCTGAAGACATTAGGTTTATAATACCCAGAAATTCATAAACAGATGTACTCAAGGACATATGGCACAGTGGATAAAGGTGTTAGTTTGAACAGTCTACTCCAGTGAGCGAAATAAAAGGTTCCAGTTTGGCATTCCAACCACCTGAAGAAACAACATAAATATGGTGACAAAGAATACTGTAAATAGTGTATGTAATACCTCATCTCAGGAATATAGACAGATACCGAAGGAAACTGATGTCAATGAAAAGAAAAAAATACACAGACTACACCAAAGAGATGATGCCAACAAGCTGTATGCTAAAAAGAAAAGGATGAAGAGTGCTAGTCAGCATCAACTCTAGTCTCAAAGAGTACATATTGGACAAAACTTGAATTTCAGATATAAAAAAAACAATTAGATGGACATTTCAGAAGACAAATCAAAGGAATGGTAGATAAACCGACATGACTAAGTTGACAGAACCTTTAAGTGTGACCAAGTTTTTTTTTTTTTTGGCAGCAGCTCAAAACACTACCACAAGAACCAACTACGTAAAAGCTAAAACAGACGCGAACAGCAAACAGACTATGTAGAAAAAAAAAACGAAACCATGAATCCCATAATCAATAAATGTAGCGAAAGTGGACCACAAAGAATACAAGAAAGGACATGACTGATTGGAAAATGTGATCCACTAGAAACTTTGCAAGTGACTACATTCTAACCACACAAATCAATGGTATATACAGACTCAAACCAGTTCTAGAGAATGAAATGCACAAATTTTTTTTTAGTACTTTGAAATTCAAAACAGATCACCTAATCCAGGTCTGAATAGCAAATTTGTTCAAAATAAATAAGATGCTATATAATGAATTTCATTGTTCTAGCAGACCACAGAGTAGATCTAAAGAAAATTAACAGATAGATAAATATTGTTGGAAAGCTGAAATAGCAGAACATGAAGGTGACAGCTTGAAACACTTCTGAAGACCCCCAGAGGAAAAGGGTTACAATAAGTGCAAATTAGGTAAAGCTAATATAAGTTACCAATTACTACTGGTGTGAACACAATAAATACATGAATGAATAATCAATATATTTTCATATAAAATATATCTAATTTTTTTTTTCAAAGTTAAATTATAAACAGTTGAGAAAATTTTGTGAAATGCTTTATTTTAAACTAAGAATAACTTATTAAAAAATATTCTGCCAGTAGGCATACAATCAACTTGTTGTACATTCATATTAAACCAACATAAATATTCTGTATTTCATTCAAAGAAAAAGTCTTATATTAAGTTTTGTATGATTATAGATATATCATTGGTTAATCATAAAATGTGACAATTTCATCACAAAATACAAATAGCAATATTCTTCTAAATGAAGACTGAAAATAATCCAATTTTGTAAATTAAAAAAAAGTTCTATAAAAGTAGGTAAAAATTTTGGCGGGAATAATTTTTATAGATTAGTATTTATAGATATTCCTCAAGCAGCAAGATTTGTCAGAATCAAGAAATATTGATATTTTTTTTTAATCATTTTGGGGGTGGGGGTCCTGTTTACAATATTGCAACAGTGTCAAATTGATTCCTGTCTTTTACAAAGTTATCTGCATTAAATGTTTTATTTACAAATGTCATGCCTTAAAAATGTACTTACATCATTGATATCTGCATATTTTTTTTTAATACTTCTGTTCATTAATGTAAATTTTTATTCTTTAATTAAAAATGTATCACTATTTTAAAAATGTATACATGTTTCTTCTTTAATGACAAATTGTTTTGTGAAAAATTAAAATATATTTCACCAAACAATTGCATATATATATATATATATATATATATATATATATATATATATATATATATATATATAGGGGATAAATATATGTACACTTGAAAAATTGTATTTTTATTAATGTAAAAGTCTTAACTAAAACAAATTTTGATACATTTTATTAAAAAAATAGTAATAAACTTAATTCTTATTCTAACAGAAATTAATGCATTTTTTTCATTTTAACTAATGAAAAATGTATTTGTACAAAACAAAAAAAGCATATTAATTTAATTTAATACTTTGTGGAATATCCTTTATTGAGTTCAACAGCTACCAGTCTATTCCTGTATGTCTCAACTAATCATTTACACACATTGAGTGGTATTTTGTCCCATTCTTCTTGGCATATTGTCTTCAAATTCTTGATATTTGTTGGTGCTCTTTTCCCCAATTTGAATTTTCAAATATCGCCATAAATTCTCAATTGGGTTCAAGTCTGGGGACTGACTTGGCCATTGCAAGACATCAACATTACTTTCAGCTAACCATTTCCTTGTAGATCTCGCGGTATGCTTAGGATCATTATCCAGTTGGAAAACCCAATCAGGAGGTAGCCGAAGTCTCTCAACAGAACGCATTAAA